CTGCTGAAACTGTAACTTTACCACAGTGATATTAGACTGTAAAGATAGTTGTTCATGTAAATTCAGATGTGTTGTAAAAAATGTACTATAGAAAATGTGACTATATTGTAGAATTCATACGCAGGAAAAAATCAATGCTTTAATGGTGTCTGGTACTGTCTGCAGTTAAATTATTTGTGCAATATTTAATTTTTCTTTTTTTTTAAATTAAAACCATCCCTCCCTTTATTTAACTAAAAATGGACCGTTTTATGTCCAAGCAGTAGCAGAAAGATTGATTTATGCGATATGACCTGACCACGTGGCAGAGGAAGGTGTTGAAGGAAGAGCTTTTAAATGTTCTGAACATTTGTTCTTTTTATAAAAAAAAAAAAAATTATACTATTTTTTTTTTTTTTTTTTTTTCTTACCGACACCTCAACACAAGTGGCAGAGACTTGCTGTCTGAAATTTAAGAGGGTAGATGTTTCCAATCTTTTCAATGAAGGGAGAATTCCTGATTTGTATTTCGGGAATCTGAAGAACAGCAGTTTCATTTTCATGGAGAAATTTTGCTTCACAGAACATCTGTTTTGCACCAATTCCCTAAAGCAAAGAGATGGACCAAGACTGTAACTTGTTCTTGTTGTTAAATCCACTACTTCATCTTGCATGCTATTTGTACTGCATCCCTGGGGTCATTAGACCTCCAGGTAAATCTGTCTCTACATACAGTTAACATCATCTTCAGCAAGCAGCACAGTTCAACACTTGTTTCTTTTAGGTTTTGGAGCTGCTTCTAGTGGTACTCTTTTAAAAAAAGAAAATCAGAAAAATAAAATTCTTTTGAAATGAAATCAGTGCTGCTGCTCTTCTGTAGCCATTCTTGGTCTAAATCTGATTCTTATGCCCCATTTTTTTGGAACTGAAGTAGTCTGATTTTTAAGGTAGTCAGCAGTGATTGCAAAAGATCACTTAATTCCTTATTGGCTAAATCAGCATCTGTGCAGCTTGATATTTCAAGAGCCACGTTTCGGGTCATGTGTCAGAGCAATCGGACCCTTGGGAATGCTGAGAACTAGTCTGCTTCTTCCTCTTTGCATTCCAGACAGCAAATAGTTCACTGTGCTGAATACTGTCGCAGTAATGGATGCTCATATTCTGAACTGTACTGCATATGCAATTCTCTGCTTATTCCACCACTTGCTTCAATTATGAGTGATTTCTCCTCCCTCTCCACATTCGTAACTTAACTAAGGCTGCGTACAAATGTTCATTTCTACCAGAAGAAATTTCTTCCAGTAGGAAAATAGCCTGGGAGCTGGACTTGTACCGATGTTCCTTCATCCCCATGGCTGCATAGCTTTATGGACAAGCTCTCTAGCCAGGGTGCATTAGAGGGCCCTTCCCTGAGCTACCCATGCCCTTAGTTGACATTAATATGTCCATTAATTGATTCTGCCCAGAAAGAGGCAGGCTTTTGGCCCCCAAGTGAAAGACCCCTCTGCCCCCCAGCATCAGCTGATGGGCAGGAAGGGAGGCACTCGTGGTGGGATCCCTCCCAGTTCTCCCCTGCAGGAGAATAGCCCCACTTGCACTCCTTTCGGCTGACCCAGAGGGGGGCAGGGAGATGGGTGGGAGCACTCGGCTTCTGTGGCAAGGCTCTGGGAGCCTGCCTTGTCCCACTCCTTGGGGTCAGCTGGGCAGTGTCTGCAGCAAGGGAGAGCCTCTATACACCCGGCTCCCCGCCCCTCCAACTTCCCCAGGCAGTCTCCACCACTCAGCTGAGCGGCAGGGGCAGCAATTTAAAAACCAGAGGGGCTTCCCCAGCTTGCCTTCCAGCTCCCCTTTGCAGCCCTGCTGGGGGGTGCCAGTTTAGCTGGAAGTGGGGGCTCCGGAAAAGCCCCCTCAGCCCAGCCCCCCTTGTAGGGCAGGGCAGGAAAGCTGGTGGTTTAACCCAGGATGTTACTGGGTTATTTTTTTTCCTGGACCAGCCATTTTTGCTCTGAGAGAAAAAGCCTGAGTATCCTTACACTTTGGTCTCTACTGGGGGAGCAGCGATTCTCCCAGCAAAAACTTAACGTCTGAACATGGCTGAAGCATTGGAGAGCGCGGTCCTGTGTGGTCCAGCTGTACAGCCCTTAGAATGAACGAATGAAATGTGACAGCTGGGGAACCAGCTTTCATGGGAGAGACGATCCTGTATTAGGAATTTGTATCCTCGGGGCCTGCAAAAAAGAAAAGGGAATTCTTCAATGGGTGCCGTCACAATGCGCCACCGCTCCTCTGGGATCCACCCCTTTGAAATCAGAGCGCAGTTTGACTCAGGATTTGCCCTGCGGAAGCAACACGAGCACAGAACTTAAAATAGGGTTTTATTCTTTATCTCGTTCAATCTACATGCCTGATTTCATTTTGGAAATGAGTATTGTTCTAAGACTGGACATTTTGTTCTCATAAAATGAACCCTCCAGGTGCTCCAAGTAGGCAGTAGGATGCATGCTTACTTTCAAGAGCATAAATCAGTCATTCAATTCTAACGTGTAAATAGTTTTTTAAAAGTGCTTTTGTTGTTTGTTTTTTAATAGAACCAGGTTTGAATTAGCATAGGGTATCGATTCAGTATCAGTTGCCAGTCGGACCACATTTTATCTTGTAGGTTGGGTTGTATTCAGTCTTGCGCAAGTCAAGGACTATTCCATGAAAAATATGCATCTAGCTTTGTCATTTTTATTTTGGCATATCATTGCAGAACCTTTTTGAAGGTAATATTTCACCATTAAAATGTGAGTGGGTAACTTGTCAATCAGAGCTGATATACAGTAATACATCTAATAAATACAAATGTTTTTTGGACAATATCTAATTTTTAAAAGGAATCTGGACAAGTGGAAAACCTTGATGTATGCTTACATGTCATATTCCTTTCCTCTTGGATGTAAAAGGCAGTATTTGTCAGTATACTTAGGTGCAGAACTTAGGTTTTAAAGTCTACAAAATTAAAGATTTTACAAACTCTCCTCCTAAATTCAGTGCTTGGATTTGGCCGTTCCTTTCCCTTGCAGCCTATCCTAGAGCCTGAAAATCAGGAAGTGACGCTATTTACATCTGTACTAAGCATCAAAATCTTGTGAAACAGAGAACCGTAAAAAGTAACCCGTTTTGTGCATCTTGGCTGTAACACTGGTGTATTTGCTTTTAAGGCTGCCAGCATCCTTTCAACTCAGTGCCGTCAGCACAGGTATGTTTGCACACAAAAAAGGTCTTAATAGGACCACCTAGCATTGTTCAAATTAATAGATGAAAATGCCATCTGTAGCTTTTCTCACTGCCTGTTGCTGTGAAGTAGTAAAACTGCTGTATCTGCCAGTGTGAAGAAACATTATACTTTACAGATTTACTCAAAGTAATAGGAGTCTGTTCTTGAATACAGTGAAGGCAATGGGAAGACTCCTATTGCTTTCAAAGTGTTTTGGATTAGACCCCTGATCAGCTGGCAGCGTTGTTACCATAAAGAGAAATTAGGATATGCTTTAGCTTGCAGGCAATTTGTTGCTTTGCAGGCAACAACCTGTTAACTTCAAGGGCATTGACTGCATCCTTAATGAAAGCTAGAGCAACTGGTCCAATGCTGCCCAGCTGTGCATGTGTCTGTTTTTATCTTCACTACAGAGAAGTACATTTTTTTTGTCCTATGCTATGAGCCCTTTTGTTACGTTTATACGTATGTTCCTCGAAAGGCTACAGTGATCTTGAATATCACAGAAAACGGATTAATATTCTGCGAGAACTGAACATTTGAAATCCAGATGTAAAATAATGTAAATAAGCAGCCTGTATAAAGCATGGGTCTGGGGTGAATAAAATTTTGATCTAATAGCGTGTTTCTGATTCTTTCTAGTGAAGATAGGAATTGAAGTTAAGGTGGGATGTTTGAAAGCAGCCTTCTGCAAAGAAAATGCCTGTACTCCTGCGAGTGAACAAATCTTAAATGCATAAAACCTACTTTCCATTGAAGCAGGGTTTTTGACCTTTGGTTACTTTGCAGTGGTTGCTTTGCTGCAGTATCTGGGGGCGGTGGGCTGAATCTAGGATCCGAAACATTGCAGAGAGAGCTGAAACACGACCTCTGGCAACAGGAAGTTCAGTGCCCAATAAAATATCGGCAAGCAAACGGGTTATTAGTAGTGTTGTAGAAGAAGTGGTTAGTTGGGAACCTCCGTGCAGTGCTAACGAAGCCGCATGTTAACGCGCTTCCCTGCTCGTCTTTATAATAAAGCCCCTTTTGATCGGGACGTCTGCTCGCTCCAAACCGTGCCGCAACGGCTTTCATTCAAAACACGCTGACACGTTCGCGTCTGTAGTGATCTCTTTCCACCTTACATGTCAGACCTTATTTCTTGTGGCAGTTAGAACAGCTTTTGGAAAAACAAGGCTGCAGTTTTGTCTGGGACCATTTGAAGGAGAAAACACCACAGGAGCGGAAGCTGCTTCTATATAGGGAAATAAGTCTAAGGTCAGAGGAAATAAAACAATGGTATTTTATAGAGCCCCGTTTCCTGCGGGGCCCCCCTTTCCTTTGAGCAGCGTGAATACTATTGTCTTATGAGACTGGGAGGACAGGCCTGGTGCAGCTATTTGCTTTGCAGGCAAGTCCAAGCAAGGTATTTGGGAGGCCGGAATTGGAAAGAGATTTCAGAAAGTCTTGACCATTCATATTGCAATAGGACTCGGGTACCAGCGAGGCCAACGTGCTGCAAGCTTACTAGATGCCGTTTGTACCTACAGGAAACAAGTCCTTCTTCCCCCAGAGCTTCTCCCTCTTCTGTCTCGTCTTTTGGGGCGCGAGGTGCACGGCTGACAGCGAACCCTCAGGAGGGCCTTCACGGCCTGCTCCAAGGGGACGGCCCCTGCCCATGTCGAGATCAGCGGGGTCATCGCATACTGCGAGGTGTGGGCTGGGATGCAGGCCACCGAGGCCTCCTGCGTGGGTTTGGCTTGGATGAAACCGGGGCTGGTCCCAGGGTAATTGGCACCCGAGGCAACCCCACCACTTCCAACATCGAGGAAAATAAGAAGTCTAGAATGACCTTTCACATGTACTTATCTGGTATTTGAAATGAAGAATAAAACAATACATTTTTTTTTTTATTGATCATTTCACACTTTTCATTAAAGGTCTTTCTCCCCGTACCAAACCAAAGGTCTCAGACCAAGGTGGAGCCGTAGCCGGTCAGGCCTGTTATTGAGAATGCCGTTCCTGTTACTTCGTTCTGCGTATCATTTTGGCGCCCTCCGAATTTGGGTGCTCTAGTCTAGGCGACCTAGTGGTTGGACCGGCCTGGGATGAAACAGAATTACCGTGACCATGAACGTGGGCGATTGCTGCCTCCCGAGTCTGGGGGGGCACCAGATCACCAACTGGGGCCGATTGCTGAGCCCAAAATCACCAGCGGCGAAATGGGAAAGTGGCACTAATGGTTTTTCCAGCTGATGTTTCCAGGGGGTGCACAGCCAATCTCAGGGGGGCACGTGCACACGCGTGCATTGCCTGGGAATGTTTCCAGGGGGTGCATGGCCAATCTCAGGGGCTGCATGTGCACATGCGTGCACCCCATGGAAATGTTTCCAGGGGGTGCACGGCCAATCTCAGGGGTTCACGTGCACCCGTGTGCACCCCCTGGGAACGTTTCCAGGGGGTGCATGGCCAATCTCAGGGGGTGCACGTGCACACGTGTGCATTGCCTGGGAACGTTTCCATGGGGTGCACATGCACCCGTGTGCACCGCCTGGGAACGTTTCCAGGGGGTGCATGGCCAATCTCAGGGGGTGCACGTGCACACGTGTGCATTGCCTGGGAACGTTTCCATGGGGTGCACATGCACCCGTGTGCACCGCCTGGGAACGTTTCCAGGGGGTGCATGGCCAATCTCAGGGGGTGCACGTGCACACGTGTGCATTGCCTGGGAACGTTTCCATGGGGTGCACATGCACCCGTGTGCACCGCCTGGGAACGTTTCCAGGGGGTGCATGGCCAATCTCAGGGGTGCACGTGCACCCGCTACACGCCGATGTCCACGACGGAGGCAGGGGGCAGCGCCCCAAGTCGGTGCCTTGCACACGGCTTTGTGTACCCGCGTCTGCTTGCAGGAGTCCCCACAGCGGGAGGATTTGTAGGCTCTTGGGATGAATCCGATCCCTTTTGTTAGACCGACTTAAACAGCTGGAAAAATTTGCAAAACTTGGGACCTCCCACCCCAACGCTCCCGGCTTGGGCTTGCAGCAAGGATTTGCAAGGACAGGGGAGGTGGAAGATACAGGGGCTTTGCCATGCATGAATCTTTTGGGGGGGTCTTGCATGACTCACGCGCTGGGGCCGGCTGTGACTTAGGCCATGCAACGCTGCAACCAGGCGCAGCGCG